AAGTGTTAAAATCTTCTAAAAATAAATGCTTGATTTCATCCAAAGAATTTAATTAATGTGAAATTCCAAAATGCATTAAAGATAGCTATTGTTATGTACCTTTTCTTCTACTCTGTCATTAAAACAAAAGGAATCTGCATCACATCAAGACTTAAATCACAAATCAATTCTATTTTTCTACCCAATGATGCTTAGCTCGGTTAGTGGGCGAGCGCGATTGGGTACCCCCAACCCGCCTTCAATTCCCCTCGAGCGACTTCGTCTCTTAAGTGAGGCCCGTGAAGTGCGGGCCAGGAGGTGGTGGGTGTCTCTTCTAGGTCAGCCGAGGATTAGTCACGCCGTCAAACGTCTCTTTAGGAGTGTCAGCGGGTGGATACCCCGTTCCTCAAAAAAATATTTTCGGACAAGAAAAGTCATTTTTCTCTCATGATTTCACCCCATTTATAAGCATTTATGTAATTTTCCAAAAAAATAAACTCCAAATAGGATAAAACCCAGCAAGAAACTATGCTAAAAATGTATAATTCTTATCATCTTCAACCTCTTCTTCACAATTTCAACCGCAGAATTACCAAACACAACAGATTTCTGCTTTAACATTGATAGATACTTTGCCTCTCACAAGAAAGACACCAATGGACATGCTGCACCTAACCAGTTTCTTTGGTCCCCATAGCTCAAAGGCAGACCACTCATTCATGAAAGCAGTTCAGATAGTAAGAGATGAATGAGAACAATCTAGATAAGCAAAGCTAAGCAGTGCCCATTTATCAACTTGCTCATTAAGGATGGTGAGACCACCAAAGAGAACAAAATTGCAAGCAGATGAGACCAAACAGCCAACTTTTTCTTTGTTCCCCTCTTCCAATTCTTCCCATGTGGCCAATTTGTTCAGATATCAGCCCAATTCCTTCTCCCACCACTCTCTTATAGTGGGGATGCTCATTTCAACTTTCTGTGCTTGGGATGTTTTAAACATTTTCTGGAGACAAGGAACCAGGCCTTCATTGTCATGTCCTCTTACTTTGTTTTGTTCTGCAAAACTCAAGCTATCATCATAAATGCTAACAGCGCTGAGAGAGGCCTGCAAGTGAAAATGCCAAATCTTTTATCCTTTTCACTTAATTGTTTTTGGGTTCATATTGTTTGGCTTAGTGTCCAAGCAAAGATGTTTCATGTCTCAAATTTTTAGGAGAATAAATGGTTATGATATGTTTATTGTGGCCATGTGCATTGTTGCATGCAATATATATCTATCAGTGGAAAAAAATATCTAAACCATGTTCTTGCTTCTACCTATGTTTATGGGATGTTTAGCACATGAAGATTGATACACATCTTGATCGGGCACGATCTTGATGCAAATTTTGAATTAAAACTTTCAAAATTAAATTCAGGACCATTTGAAATTCGAATCCTACAAACTTATAGTTAAACTAAACGGCTCGATGAGATAAATACAATGATACTAAAAGTGATCCGATCTAAATCAGAATGAGCCCGGATCAAGAGCTTGAAGCATAAAGAGAAAGTTTGAAATATTAATTGTAGATTAAATGGCCTCCAAATTTGATGTGCATATAGTTGAATCGAACATCTCGGCTAGATGAATTCAAAGAGCTTAAGATGATTCAATATTTACAAAATTAAGGAAAACACTTAAATGTTTAATAATGTTTTATGATCAAGGAAATCAATATATACCGTTCAAAATTTATGAATTTGCCACTCTTAAAGATCTACAAATAGACTCACTCTTTACCTGAATGAGAAACTTAGAACTTGGATTTTGACATGAGATTCAAGGGTGTTGTCAACCCGTAGGGTCCAATGGAAGAATTAAAATCTGAACCTATCCATCCCATCTTTAATATAGAATATACCAGAGTTAACTAATCCTAGCAAACTTGACTCTATCAACTCCTATTCAGCCGGTCCTTTACATTTTTGTGAAATAACAAATACTTCACATAGTGAACAATGAGATGCTAAGTAGGTTATCCCAAAATCCTATTACAGAAGTCAATGCCCATATTTACATTATACAAATAAAAAGGTTTTAAAATATTTATAAAATAATAAAAAATAATGTTACGTTAAAAAACTTAAATAAAGGGATTACTAATACTTATTGGTTTGAATTATTAGAAGAGCAATATAGGTGTAGTTTAAATTTGAATATGAATCAAAAATAATTTTTCAGAACTAGTCACTTGAACTTTAGCATTGTAAGGATTAATATGCACTTTCTTTTGTACTTTTACATGGGTGTCAGAGTATACTTGTTAATAAAATGTTATACATTCGCATAAGCATCTAAGTATATTTGTTAATTGAATATTGTATTTGAATTTATTCCATTTAACAGAATATGCAACATATGATTATTGATATGCACATATCCTGGTATGCGCTTATAACTCCACTTTCACTTATGTATCTCATGTTCAACTCACCAGCTTAAAGTAGATAATGGAGACCTAGCCTGATTCCCCTTATAATTCCACTTCCACTTTTAACTCCTTTAAACCTCTCATACATGCACAAAATAGATGGGGATAGAAATAGAAACAGAACATAGTAGAGCATAATAGAGTTTCTAGCCCATATACCTGAACATGTAGTGCACTTTAACATCTCCCACATCAGAACTTTCATCATCACATGTTATGCATATGTAGATATGAAAATTTTAACATGTATAGTCACATTTAACATTTACAAGAACATGTATAAGTACTGCATGCATGACATTTTAGAGATTAATACATGTAAAATTTGCATACACACTTAATAATTGCTATTTGAAAAATCATTCATAAGAATTCTCTAAAATATCATTTTAAAACTTTTAATGAATTGTAGTTAATGTCAAAATGTCATATTCAATAGCACTACTAAAAAAGTTATACAGATGAAATCACCCATTAAAATTTTGATTTTTTGCTATTAAATTGAGCAAAATGAGACATTCTATAACAGATCAAAAATCACATAGTGAAATGCTTATTAAACTCATTAAAATCATATTTATCACATAACTTTTCATACAAACAATAGAATTGAAACCATAAATAAGGTATTGGAAGCCTACCATGTGCTCGACATTTTTTTTAATAGATATATTGGATAAAACCCGCACTTTGGCCTCCTAATTCACCTCATTACTTTCTCTTTCTTCCTTCTCTCCTCTCTTCTCCTCTTCAGCAGCTGAGGTGAGGGTGGTGAGGTAAAATGAAAATAGCTTTGAATATTTGTATATAAAACTCATTTTAGTGCCTAGCGCCATGGTGTTCCATCATGCAACATCACTACACTTAATTGATATATTCTAAGCCATCAACACTAACTAAGACTCCCAATGACAACATAGAGATTTATGCTAGACTCCTTGATCTTTTGACTTAAGAGAGTACGCCAAAACAAACAAGCAATACTACTTAAGGGAATTTATAAATCAATTTATTTGGCAATGGTTGAGAAAGTTTTAAGAAGTATGTCTACAAACCTAATTATCATCGTGTTCATGATCAACCAAAACATTTGTTCAATATAACTTGAAATAATTTGCCCTTGAGATGTAAGAGAAGGTTGAATTGGTAAAGTATGGCTACATTCGGAGGAAATTTCTCTAGATAGGCAGACTTGTGAAAGAAAAAGAATAGAAGAAAATTTTAAGAAGCCAAATAGTCAGAAGCATTACAGATGTATTGCAATACCTTCTTTTTTTTTTTTTTTAACATTTTGGTTATTGAGTTGAAGCTAAATAAATACAAAGTAAAATTATGAGAGATTTGAAATATATGAAAATCGTTATTTTTGTGTATTTGAATCACCAAATTTTAAAACATTACATTGTTGCCCTTTTGCCCACTCATGCCCCCTTCCCTTCTCCTTTGCCCACTTCCACCCCCTCACCTCGCATAGTCCTCGCCATCGACCCCTCGCAGCCCCCTCTCCTTCTCCCCTCATTGCTCTTACCCTCAACCTTGTGCTCCCTTTTACCTCGCCCTTGCTCACTCATGTCTCCCACTCATACTGGGTCACCTTTGTCGCACTACAACCCAAGTATTATAATATGCGCCACTTGCTTCAAGTTAATGCATTTGAAATCATCAAAATAAAAGGTGCAAAACATTTTAATCATAAAAATGGTGATTGATGAAAAGCTTTGGCTATGCAAATTTTCAATTAATCTCTACAAATGATGATATGGAAGATTCACATGGAGAAGTGTGCAAACACCAATCACTAAGCAAGTACACCATAAATTCTATCTCCAAATGGGAGACTCTCTCTATGTGGTTTGAAGTTTAATGAATTATTTATCTTAACGCGGCTGTGGACATAGTAGAACTTATCAAAAGTGTATTTATGATATTTAAGTCCTCATATTCCTGCTTTTTTCCCCAAATTATTAACCTACCATTACTTTATTTGGTGTTTATGCTTGTCATTGTCTGAATGAAGTTGCTTTCCATGACAAGGCAAAATGTCACCATAGTTTTGTCTTTCCCTTCTTGTTTTCATATAAAATTCCATGAAAACAACATGGTTAAAAATCAACAAGCAAATCTTCCTGTCACTTTGCTAGGATAACATTCAACTCTAAGCTTTTTTTTTCTTTTCTTCTTATGTAATTTGCAAATCATATGAAATTATTATAGTATCATGTTTTTTTCTAGGAGATATTATTCTATGTGGAGACCGGACGTAGAACGATGTTTGGAGACCAACCAGAATGCACCACGTCAGCGGTACAGAGCGGTGCCGAGCAGTACTGAGCCACGGTACCGAATAAAGGGTGATGCGGTGCATTCTGGTTGGTCTCCGAACGGCGTTCAGCATCTGCACAGAATAATTAATCGATATTTAGACAAGTGAATTTATTACTTGGGCCAAATGAAATTTTTTGAACAGGTTATTGGTGAGTATGCCCTGAGCTAAATGTTTTCCAAGCAACATAAGAGCTCTAATCATTTACCCAACAAATCAAATTGTGGCAGAATAAAGAGATAAAATTAAAATAAAAAAAAGATGTGTTTACAACATTAAAAGAGTGACAAGCTCCTTTCAATTATAAGATTAAACAAACATGAAGAGCTCTCCCTCCCAAGAACAGCTAAGAACCTACAAGAGCTTTTTGTAGCTCTACAATAATCTAAGGCAGAAGAGAGAACAATTCTATTCCTACAACTTTCTCATCTCCTCTTCACTAACATCTCACCATTGTTTTCCTTCAAATATCAAACTATCAGAGAAATATCAATGGATGGACCAAAATAAACACAAATTTGAACCACAACTCTCTGTTCAAGCTGAATTAGCAATAGACTTCTTGCAATGGAGGACTGCATCATGAATAGAACTTTCAGATGGCACATCGAAAATCCGATTCCCCCGCCGCCTCTCGATGCTCATCCTTGGAGAACTTTTCGGCGAATCATCAAAGCTCAGCGGCATCTTTGAAGAAACCTTCTTCAAGTTCAAAACCTTCTTATACAAGGGAATAAGAAAATACAAGTATTTCCTTAACATCTTCACAGGAGACTTTGTGTTTCTCTTAAGCAAAGGTAGCTTTTGCTTATTGTGACTACTTTTCATTGTCATGGTATCTGATGAAGTAAAAGATGGTGATGAATTTGTTGAGACTGAATCATCCCAATTCTTGCTTAGATTGATTGAACCATCATTATTCTTCGAAGTATTTATAACTTGCACAGGAAGAAGATGACCATTGAAGAAAATTTGATCAGCATGAACCACAAGTGAGCCGTCGCAGCTCGGAAGGCTGAAATCAAAGTCGATTGAATTGGTCCACCGCAACGAAAAGAAATCCGGGTCCATTTCGATGAAGGAGCTTCCATCAAGTCCATCAAAAGAGCGCCGGAGGCTTTCTTCAAGAAAGTCCAAGGAGTGCTTGATGTTGCTAAGCCAATTAAGGGAGAAGCTATCATTGGAGATTTGCTGTGTGGTCTCCATGTGAGCTCCCTATTGGAATATTAATGGTCTGGTGAGGATGAGGAACTTGCTCTTTGGTTGAGGAAGAGAAAAGAATGAGGAGAAGAGAAGGGGGGTGGGAAGGAAGATATAGCAAGTTCTTGAGGGAAGAGGACAAGTAGGTAGAATTAGCAGAGTTCCAATTGTATTGAAGGAAATTACCATTGTACCCTTATGCTTCTTTTAAACCATAAAGTAATGCAAATTTTTTAATTTTTATTTCAATATAAGCATTTATTTCAATTCATCAAGAAATTAATAATAATTCTATTAATATTTAAATAATAAAAAATTTTGTCAGATTGTAAATTTTTCTTAACCCTAACATGAATTCCTAAGCATTTGGTCAATATATAACAGAGAAAAAAAAAAAACTCTAAGTTTGTTATCTTGAAATTGTTTATTCACTAATTCATTTGGTCAATATTTTGTTAATTAAGAACTCTGATGTTTGCAAAAAGAAAAAGTTTTTTATTTTTAAGAAAATAATTGTAATTTTCAACAACTATAAATAAAAAATTATAATCTAGCAAATTTTTTTAATTTGAAAATCAATTTTAAAAATTTAAGATTATATCTTACTACATCTTTAATCATAATAATATTCAGAGGATAACTATATAAATTATTTATTGTTAGGGACTGTTTTGGTTAATATTATAATCGATCAAAATTTGATTTTATAAAGTAATAATACTTGATTATAATGTAAACACTTATTATTCAAAAAATTCATATAAAATCAAATCGCTTACATCACTAACATTATATTATGTAAATTAAGAATTAGTAATCAACTAACCTCTTATAAACTATATGCTAAATGACTCTTTCATAATTTAATTACATAAGCATTGCTGCAAAAAAAAAAAATATTTTTTTTATAAATTTATCTGTGTAAGGGCGGCTATGACGCAGATTCTTTGAACTCTTTCACCAGTAACCTGGTGAAGCAGACAAATTCAAGCCCGCACACAGAAGTGGACACAGTAAACAACTAATGTTAGTATCATGACGCAGGATTAAGCTTGTACAATATGTAATTATGTATGTAATATTTTAGTAAATAATTCCTTCCTTAGTGATAAAACTTTTTGTCTGTTTTCACATTAGACCAGTTCAGAGAAAATTAAGTAAAGGATTTTTTTTCTTAGAAAATTTAGAAAATTAAGTAAAGGCCTTTTTTTATTTAGAAAATTAAGTAAAGGCTTGTTGTGCCTTAATTGATGTTTTAGGGTTTGTCGGAGACGGCCGTAGTGTTTTTTAAAGTTGTATGTGAAGTTGTTTTGAAGAAAGCAGCTTAATTACTCTGGTTTAGGGCTGTCAAAAGCGGGTTTTAGGTCGGGTTCATGTCGAACCTGAATTTGATCCGACACTTTTTAACCCGACCAATTTCTGCAAACGGGTCGATTTTTTGGTCCCGAATCCGACCTGCTTCGAGTTAGGGTCAACCCAAACCCTACCCGCTTCTTTTATGTTTTACTAAAATATTTTTATTTAAGTTTTTTTTTTCTTATATATATATTGCCAGGAAATATCTTTGGCTAAATCGAATTAAGGTAAGATTTATTTCAATCAATTTAAAATAAACCAACCTTAATTCAGTTTGGACAACATGATTTATTATTTTTTGAAAATAACATTTATTTATTTCATAACAATCTTCTTAAACCCTCCTAAATCAATTAAAAATGAGTCAAATTGGGTTGAGGTCAGGTTTTCGAGTCAATCCGAACCCGACCTAGTTTTACAAACGGGTTGAAATCTCTAACCTGAACCTGACCGGATTCAGGTTCGAGTCAGGCTCAAGTCAAGTTTTTGGGTCATGTCAAATATTGACACCCCTACTTTGATTATAAGAAATAACTTTCAATTATAAAAAATTCTAAAAAAAAAAATAGAGAGAAAGTAGGAGGAAAGAAATAGACAAATAAGTTACTATAATTTGGAATTTTCCGTAGAGAGGGGGCTCTCAAATAAGTTGCAATGTTAGTCTAGCCCTATCTTTCCAAAGTCAACATTGTCCCCATGTAGCTTTCACTAGCCTATGATTTCATAAAGAAAATTTCATTCTAATATAACCAATAGCTCTGGTCTATATAAAGGTATGTCATAGCTAAAATAAGGGGAGACTCAAAGAGAGAAAAAGGGAAGAGAAATACTTAGAGTAGCATAAATGAGTGACTAGAGAGAGAGAATTCAAGTAAATAGAACATGTCTTCTTCCTTATTTCATAATTTTCTAATTTTTCTTTAATAAAATAATAATTTCTTGAATTCTAAAAGAAGAATTTATATTTCTTAAATTTAGGGATGTCAATTCAGGTTCATAGGTTGAGTTTGGATTTAACCCTAACTTGTCATTACCCAAATATGCTTGACTCAAATTTGACCCATTTATTATATAAATCAAATATTTGACTCGAAACTGACTAGACCCAAACCCAACCCTTATAACTCATTTATAATATGGATCATGCAATTTTCTTATCAATATGACATTATTAACATGAATATCACTAGTTTAACCCAATTAACCAACTCAAACCTACCTAATTTGAACCCAAATAATAATCAGATTAATTTTGAGTTAATTTTGACTAATTCAGAATAACTCAAAGTTGAAGTAAATTAAGACCCAAATCCAAACGAAATAGTAATAAAGTCAACATGAATCCAAAATTTTTTTTTTAAGCTGGGTTGCCAAATCATGTCATTTATTGACACTCCTACTTGAACTCAGCTGTTTGACTTATTAATCAGACATCCTTTCGATTTCTAGTAGGTGATTTCATGCAAAGAATAGGGTTTTACGTCCCAAATCCCTATCAAACAAAAGACAAGGAAGTGAAGAGTACAATGAGTACATGTTCTCTTCATCAACAATAACATAAAGAGAGAGGCTAGGTCTACTACTACTCACAAATGGAGAAAGGGAAGCTTGAACCGATCTTAGGAAAAAAAAAAAGTCCAAAAAACTTTAAGGAGAATGTTTGTAGTTGCTTTCATGGTGCCACCCTTTTTTGTTGCACACCAACAATAGATCCATTGACTTTTATCTTCATTAAATTTATGCTTCGACATCCATCATTTCAATAAAAAAAGGTAGACATAATAGAGCTATGTGATCTTTGAGAATAAAGAGTGATTGATCTGATTGTTGTTCAATTTTTACAGTTCCACCATCCTCATAACAATTTATGTCTTTAATCACATTATTGAAGAATAATTAATCGACATTTTTAATATTTTTATAATGTAGTGAAATTAAAAAATGCCGGCATCATTTATTTTTATATTATATCAAAATGATATTAAAATTATGTTATTTTAAATAAGTGCTAAAAAAATAGCTTGATTGAGCATTTAATTTACCAACTTGGGATTTACTTAACTAATCAAAACACAAAATATGATATCTTTAAGGATTGGTTTGTGACAACTTTCTTATTACTTTATTTCTTAGATCGCAATCACAGTCAATATGGCATAAAATATGACATATTTTTTAGATCACAAAATATTATATTCGGTGAAATTCAATATATATTCATGTCAATATGTGTGAAATGATTAAAACTATAACATATTAAAAGTGATATGGTGAAAGTTTGCTAAAAATCGAGATATGATAACAACTTTTGTACATTCTAAACAAATTAAAATTTATAAAACATAAATATACAAAATCATTAAAATCAGAGATAAGGTAACCTACCTGGAGATGAGCAAATTTCCTAATTGGGCTAACTGACAAAACAATTCTATGACCCCCAAACCCTAAGTTTCTCTCTCCTTTCTCATATCTTTTCTTCTTAAATTTGATTTTTGTTCCACTGAAAATTTAGGAGTTTTCAGAGTTATTGGAGAGAGCTAGATTAGTGGAGAACTATCAAGCAATTCCTCATTATAAGAAAGACATGATTACAAAGAGAGAAAGTGAAGAGATGGGTAGGAGAAGTGTTACTGAAAAGAAAAGTTTCATATATAGAGATTTTCAGTCAGGATCTAAGGTATATGTTGTAAGTATTCCAAAGTGTGTGCATTGTAGAAGAAGGCATTAGGGTTAGTGTGAAATCCCTTAAGTAAAAAGAAAAATAAGACTTACCACACATTAAAGTTGTTAACCTCTTTATTTTTACAAAGAAAGCCATTTTAACATTGTACTTATTAGAAAGCCAATTCTTTTAGCTATAATCAAAAGTGCTCACCATCACATAATTAACATTAGTTGTACTCCTTCGGAAAACCATTAATCCAAAAAATAAAACCTTTATAAAATATTATTTCAGTATTTAAAACTGCCTTTTGAAAATGACATCACCTCCATATCATAATTGTGAAAGTGGCATTTTTTAAAAAAAGCCCATATCTTTTGTAATGTGTCAATTTTATATTATCCAATAATTCATGATTAAAATAATATTTAATTAAATATGTTTTGTCTATGCATGAAGAAAATTCTTTGCAAGAAGAAGTTTATACTATGATAAAGAAAACACTTCTCTCTTAATTTCTTCCCAATTCATTTAAGGAATTTGGGGTTTAGTTATTGAAAGAGACATATTTTCTTAGTAGTGAGGACATCCAAATCATAACAACTCCATCAATATTGTATATTTATATCCATGCTTCTACTACCATATTAACATCAACACTTGAGCTAACATATGTAAATATATAATTAGAATCATCCCTCTTAAACTAAGATCCTAGATTAATGATACATCTCATATATGGAAAGCTACACTTAACAACTCCCCATTATTATTCGTAATTAAATTAGTCTTATGCCTACCTACAACTCCCATTTCATGAATTATGCCAAGCCTAACACAAATCACAACATACATAAAATTATCAAATACTTTGTATATGATATCCTAAGATTACAACAATATTTTTCACTTGTCTTAGGTGATTTTTTTTTTTTGATGCTTTAAAATAGTCATCGTAAGTAGGGCTGTCAAAATCTTGTCACGGGTCGGGTTCGGATCCAATTCCGACCTGGCACTGTTCGACTTGACCCGAATCTAACCAGTTTTTTTCAAACTGGTGGGTTTTTCGAACCCAAACCCGACACTCTTCGGGTATGGGGCAGCCCGAACTCGACTTGCTTCGGGTATGTTTTACTAAAATGTTTTTATTTAATTTGATTTATTTAAACCTAAATCAAATTAAGATAAGATTTACTACAATCAATTTAAAATAAACCAAGCTTAATTAAATTTGGCCAACATGATTTATTATTTTTTGGAAATATCATTTACTTAATTCATAACAATTTTTTAAAATCCTCCTAAATTAATTAAAAACATGTCAAATCAGGTTGAATTCAGGTTTTCAAGTCAACCCGAACCCTACCCGATTTTAAAAATGGGTTGAAATCCCTAACTCGAACCTGACTCGTTTCTGGTTCGAGTTGACCCGAACCCGAATTTTTCTGATCAAGTTTGAGTGGAGTTTTCAGGCTGTGTCAAATATTGACACCCCTAATCGTAAGACTATTAAATTGATTGAACCCTAGTAAAGGGATATTCTCCCTTCTAATCTCCATCGAAATTAGAGTAGAGTTGGATAAACAATGTGATAATCAATGGTTGACACTTTTTGAACACGAACATGTTCCCGACTCTAACTTAACACTTGTTGAATCCATGCAAATAAATACATATTCTACTTAAGATGAAAAACACAATAGCATAATCCATCTAGTCAATAACCTCCCTAGCTTGATATATTGTTATCAATCCATCTTTATAGTCATGTTGCTAATATTAATAATGATTTATTACTAGAAAAAAAAAGTTAAATATAAATATAATTCCAACTTTTCAATTGTTAAAGAGAATTGCTTGTTTATGAAATTTTATCAGCATGCAACTTGAGGTCAGCAAAGGCTACAAAACATCATTTTCCTATCCCATCCTTAATCAACTTTTTAATGCATTAATTAACAGATTCATCATCCTTCTTATTCTAATTATTTAAACAATTTATTGAGTATTATATAAAAATAATCAACATTATAATAACAATGATCATTTTAATTATTGAGTTGACTTTATAAATCTTCATTATCACTCTTATAAAGTTAATAGACATAAAATAAAATGCAGAAAAATAATTTGAAGATAAAAAAAAAATTATTAGAATTAGATTTGATCCCAATTATTTGCATAGATTGTCACTTATTCTTTGAAGGTATGGGATCCAAACTTTAGAGTTTTTTTTCTTCTTGTAATTAAATTCTGAAATTTAAATCAACCCTAATTAAATAAATGGATTGTGATAATTTAATAACAAGGGAGTTAAAAAAAATTAATTACAAGTTAATTAAAAAACCCCTCATATTTTTCAGTTTTGTCAAATTCATAATGGTTTGATCATCGCATGCACAAATGCATGAATTCAACACTTCAAAAAATAAATAAATAAAAAAGGTGATAGTTTTATAAATAAAGAGGATTTGAGTGTTATAAACGCAATTCCTTCTTTTCCTTATAATAATAATAATAATATAAATAAATATAATGAAATAAGGAATATATAGCAATAAAAGCAGCAAAGTCCAAACAAAAACAATAATTCAATTCATAATAAGTAAATTTCCACAAAATAAACAAAATCTAAACACTTAAACAAATCGGTAAAATCTAAAACGATTGATGTGCATATCATTAACACTATTCTACAAAAACCATTATTTCTTGATTTGAAGACATTACTGAAAATAATACAAAAGACAAACAAGACTCATTAATCCATTCAAAGTAATTATTTTCTTTTGGGACGGCTTCCTTTAGTATAATAATTTTAGTTCATAAAATTTTTGTACTAAAAAAATTATTTTAAGGCTTTTTCTGAGACGTTTTTTTACTGCTTCTTAAAGCAGCTTTCTAGTAAAAAAAATTAAAAATTTTGTACTAAAAAATTGCTTTCAGAAGCAGTAAGAAAACCGTCCCAAACAAAACTGAAAAAGCAATAAAAAAATCCTCCCAAACAAAACATAAGCTGAACCACAAAAACTATCAGGCCAGAAACATAATAATTAACAAAATAAAAAAAAAAAAATTTGCATAAATATGATTTATATTCAGCTGAAGCTGACTGTAATAAGTAAAATACCATCATTTCATGAGATCCAAAAATACAAAGCCATTCCAAAGACTATGCAAAAGCATCGAAGCCAGCAGATTTCTAGACCTGGCAAAGACAGCCCCCATCACCATCCCAAGGAACACCAACGGTAACAATCTTTGAGCATTGAAATGTGCCAAGGCAAAAGCAATTGCACTCACTATAATGGCACACCAGAGTGGCATGTATCTGGTCAATGATGGCAGAAGAAAGCCACGGAACACAATCTCCTCCCACACAGGAGCACAAATTGAGACAACCACCGCGTACAAAGCCATGGCCACCGGATCGCGAGCCATGATCGATTGTTCGACGTTTGAAATGCCGACGGCGGGGGAGGTCAGAACGGGAACAAGGTTGATGTTAATCTGTGACAGAAAGTTGACAATTGGGAAGAGGAGACAGCCTAAGCCAACATCTAGGTGCCAGGAGCCTCCTAAGTTGAAGCAGAACCAACCGGGCGGAAGGGGACGAAATCTAGCCAGACAGCCATGGAGAATTGCAATGCCGGCGAGCCCTTCAGCGATATCAGTGAGAAGGCTGTACAGGGCCTGACCTCTGTGGGTTAGAGACTCTTTACTGAAACCAGCTGCATGTGCCAAGAATGGGACTATCCAAGATCCAACAAACCAGAAAGAAGCAATCCATAGAAGCATTACCTGCATAACCACAGCATTATTTTTTTTTTCTGGTTTAGCTTGCTAGAAAGTTGTATTAAACTTCATTTCAGATTCACCCTGTAATTGGTTTATATGGTTTAAACTTAACTAAAGCTCGTGAAGGGAAAAAAATTTTGACAGTGGAACTATTGAGAAAATGAATCAAATAGGAGGTCATGTAAACCAGAGAATCAAGATTTAAGTTAAAATTCTGGATGGCTGAGAAAAAAAAAAAAAAGAAGCCTAGTTTTTCATCCAACTACCTTTATAATAATGCTGTAGAAGAGCTAGATTTTTTTTTTATATATAGAAGAGCTAGATTTAAGTTTGATTATACAACAAAGATGTCATTAAACTACTTAACAATTTAAAATAATGAAACAATGTGGCATAAGAAACTGCTTACCTGGACAATGGTTTCAGCTTTCCATAGAACGGTCCAAGGCTCATCATGCAGCGGGAATATTTTATTTATGACCTGGATAAAATAATGTTAAAAAATAAACTAAAACTAGAGATAGAGAGAGAGAGTGTGTGTGTAGAATACAAAGAAAAGGCATTATACGACCTGGAACCTAAGTAGCTGAACTCCAAATAAAACAACTAATCATGCGAACATAGTCTCATAAATAACAGGGCGTTGCATGAGTCTGCATGATAAGATTATTCTGTGCGGACACCGGATGGTAAGAACCGTCCTGTTTTGTCTCTATGAACAGCTCACTACACTTTTAGTGTTCACAAAGACAAACCAGACGGTTCTCCCCATTCGGTGTCCGCACAGAAAAATTCATCCTGCATGACAGCTACATGCAGGGGCGGAACCAGCCCTAATTTTCAGGGGGGGCAAATTTATAAGACTTATATGTTGGGGTCCAAGGGGGCAGTGTCTTCTGGCGGGGTTCGACCTGTTGGGGGCAATTACCTAAAGACCATAGTATTTTAAAATTTTTAGGGGGGGCAATTGCATGAAAACCCTTGTAATAAAGACTAAAAAATAAATAAAAATGAGTAAAATACCTAAAAAATCAATATAAAAAAATTTTAAAAAAATTTTGAGGGGGGGCAACTGCCCCCCCTGGAACCTATTGGGTTCCGCCCATGGCTACATGGACGAATGGTCCAGAGCAGAGGGGACTTGCTGAATTCCAAATGTGATTGGAATATGATCATATGAAAAATGATTTGCATTAAAGCTCCTTTATGCTCATGCTTAGAGGAACGCACGTCATTTGGATTCACATATGGATCCATTTCACTCGCATTTATGGTTTATTCTCAGGCATCTAGAATCTTATAAAAGTTTAAGGCAGTAAGCCAAGCAAGCCATGCCCTGATGAAGGTACTAATACATTATCAACAATATTTATGTCACTTCTGATAATTTATAACCATTTAGATTGGTAGGAAACAAGCAATATTTAAAAAATATTAAAAAAAAAAAAAAGGTTACAAGGATTAATGAACCGCGAAGTGGTCAATTCAAGGCTCAGATGCCTTTAGATTCACAGAACCTTCTTCATTAAATCAGAAGCACCTAACTATCCACTGAGAAAGCAGTTTGTACAAATTAAGTGGAATTAATAAAGGAACCCCCTAAGATATTTTGAAGACCATGATGATAAATAAAATCACCCAGATTTGAGTAGTAGAATATTATGGAGGATGAGATTAAATGTATGTATAAGAAATTAAGCATAAATGAAATTCTTTCATTGCAAATTTACAAGCTCCTTTTAAGACAATACCTTCAAGAACTAGCCTACTACATACAATGTTCAACAAAATCTCAATTGCTTTGTCATAGATCAAATAAATTCCTCATTTTGTAAGGTATCATCATCATCATCACTAGCCTTATACAACCTATACAAGCTTTATTAATTGCCCTTCCATCAAGAGAGAATTATGCAAAAGGGTAAATGTTGATGAGAGGATCCCTACAATAAGCAATCACCATCATCATCATCACTAGCCTTATACAACCTATACAAGCTTTATTAATTGCCCTTCCATCAAGAAAGAATTATGCAAAAGGGTAAATGTTGATGAGAGGATCCCTACAATAAGTAGTGATTGCTACAGATAGGTGATTGTAAATAAATAAATCAAGGTAAAAAAAGTGTTATATCCATAATCAACATTACATTCACATCTTTCTAAAATAAATCTTATAGCATATATTCAAAATAAGATATCTTATGGTAGGTTGCTTGCAAACTAGCATAGTCCTGATAGGTGAAATTAATTCTAAAGTGAATGAAAATTAGAATAACAAAGAAAAACATTAAAAGATGAGGGGATTCTAGTAAATAAAAAAATGAGTATATCATTAGCAATTTTAGGCTTATAACATTGTAATGAAGAATCCGTGATGCTTAAGGTTTATAATTGATACGTGGTTGTTACAGTTTCCGATATATATATAGTAGAGTCATTTGGGAAGTTCAAATGAGAAGGCCCCTTTAAGCTTATTTTATAATTTTTTGTAAAATAATAAAGTCACAATAAATCTTAAAAAGATAGACAAAGGTGTGCTATATAAGTGTATTGCCCATAGTGTCAGTCCTAAAGCCAAAAAGGAGGCGCACATGCACAGTCAGCATAATGCTTTCCCCAATGCATGTTTCCGCATAAATAGAAATTCGATAGGCCAATCTTTTAAGAAACAAAACAACAGAAAAGCATTACTAATCAGGCCTTACATGATAATGAAAATCTACCACGCACGCTATGAAGCTAACAAATAGAAAACAAAATGTTTTATTTAACTTACATTATTCGGATTAATTATATACTGCAAATGAGACTACTCACTAAGTGCTAAAAATTTGACAGTAAGCTAGAAGGTGATGGAGGTGTCAAAGATTTTATAGAAAGATAAAAATAGCAATGGTGCATACAACCATTATGTAAACAAGATATAAATACCATGCTGATGTAATTACATTTAGTCAACCACACATATTATCGGCAATAAATATATTAATAACATGAATGTTGACCTCAATACTCACTTGGCAATCAAATGCTATTAAATACAATACAACAACATCAAAATCAAGCCTTTATCCCACAACGTGGGGTCATCAAATAGACAAATACTATTAAATAAAGTTTGAATACAAATAGCATATACAATGTCACACAAAACAAATTTAACACATCTCAATCGCAATCAATGTTATTCAATCATCGCTATGTTTCGAGAAATGGAACACGACAATGCATTTAGAGCATTGAAATTACCCAAAAAAGAGTTTCATATTTCCCTATATACCATACAAAAGCAAAACACATAATTTGTCTGCAAGCGAAGTAACAGCAAGAAATCAATTTGAGCAAACAACAAGGATGCATGAGAAGGAATCAATAGACTAAAAAAAATTATCTGTTAAAAATTTCTACCACCATAGCTCGTATCCCAGAAATCTATAGCTCTTTGTACTCACATCACATAATACCCCCCATATCCATATGGTCATTCAACTCTATTTCAAAAAGTAATTGTCTAAGAAAATAAAGAGGAGAAAATTGCAAAACCCCAATCTCGTCTCTCTCATTCGCGCCATCCATTTCTCCCTCTCATCTTCGCACTCCCAATGAGCGCAAGACCACAGGGTCCCAAAACCCTAGTGCCTCACCATGTCTCATTCTCTTCCTCACTAAACCTATCCTCTGGACCACTCACCCTCCCACAACCTCCAAACTGCCAAATGACCTCACCAAAAAATATGCAAGTGTATTGTACAATATTAAAAAACGTAAGTGTAGCGTGAATTATGAAAATGAAATGCATAACATACCAAAAGATGTGCACAACACCTCAAAGAAAATTCAAATTGTTAAAATCAACTTGTCAGCCTGATGCTTCGAAAAATGTGCTAAATGTTGAACTCAATATGTGAGAATGCTATGCGGACCAAAAATAAATTAAAATGAAATCCTCCCTCCTTGAAAAATGTGCAACTGCATCAAAAAGTGCACAAAGCATCACGTAAAATTATCAGAGAATGTGCAAGTACACCGTACAAATATATTGAAAAGTATACAAATGCATTGCACAAGTGTACTAAAAAGCATGCAAATGAACCTTGAAAAGCTTAACAACACTTTGCAAATGCATTGAAAAACGTGCACGACGCATCAAACCATCAAAATCAATGTTGCCTACATGTGCTCTAATAACATGCTAGTGTCTAAATCTTTATGTTTGAATACTACACGAGTAAAAAATAAAGAAACTCAAATTCAAACAGTGTGCGATTGGCTTAAAAAATTTGTAAACCCTCTATTTAAATAAAATTCATCAAAATCCATGCTCGATTATTTTGAGCAAGCCACCCTATCAAATAGGATAAGTTATCAAGTCTCAAATTTAAAGTTTAATCCTATTCATAGGGACTGGAATCAACAGGCCTTGTTTTAAAAAGATATGTTAACTTTACTCTTGCCATTTGATACAGCACACTCACACTATTATGACTTGAGAGCCAAAGGTCCAATTGCGAAATTCATGAGGATCATTGTTTAAAATTGTGCAAAACGAGGCAAACGTTGAGAGACCAAGAACACCTCGAGACACACATCTCAATCATATGATGTGAGGCATACACCTCAATTAGGGTGAGGCAAGCATTGAGGAGCGCCTCGTTTCACTATTATGAGGCATACGCCTCACCAATTTTATTCATTATTTTTTATAAAAGCTTAACCAAAACTAAATTGACATCTTCATTTTGGTTCGACTTCGCCTGCATTCCCTCATCATATAGCCCTAGGCCCATCTATGATTTGCCTTTCCTCTTGTGTTGCTATTTTGGTTTCATGTGAAGTAGAATTTCGAAAAAAAGGAAGCTTCTCCGCTTCCTTCTACGACAGAGTTGTTAACGATGCATTAGAAGCCGCAATGGGTGCTCGACACGAAGGTAAAACCAATTGAGTTTGCAACTTGAATGTTATTATTTAGGGGGGAAATCTCAAAGGATATATCCCCTTCAAGAATTAAGTATATGTTTATCTGCATGGAGAAAATGTTTTAATTTAGGTTGATATAATTTGTTTGAAGTCTTGCAATGATTCTGGCTTTTTTTATTTGTTATGATTGAATTGTGCTATAATTGCATATAAATAAAAGCTTTATTTAGATCTTTGTTACCCTTTCGTGCTTGAAATTGTTCATTATTAATTGAACCGTTGATTGATATATTGTTAAATTCAGAGAATTGGAGAAGGAAAAAACTTCTTAATTTCATTATACAAAATTATCCCTATTTATAGATATATACAAGATATTTTAATAAAGAAGCAAATAAATACGAAATCATGCATAATTGCCCTAATATGATCCTTTATAAATCAACCACTCGAATATGGAAGGAGATTGGCATGATCCAGGAGAGCAACTCATGGATCCCCATCCTGGCCGTGGGATCAAGGGCCAAGGGATAGTTGTGATTTAAACATATATTAATAGGA